AATCAAGGTATTTATATATATATATATATATATATATATATATATATATACGTGTATATCTTCATCATATGAGTTTTGAGAAATAATTTGGATGGAAAAATTGGTTTCTCTCCCTTGTGTGCGTGTGTGTGTTTTTAATTTAATGCAAGCCAAGTACGTACGGATCATAGAGCAATTTAATTAACCAATTATATATGTTTGTTCTGCGATAGTTTCTGATCAGAATTTTCAAAAAAATTTTTATATTGCTTACATCACTTGACTTGACTAATAGGTAGACATTGCTCTCTATAGCTTATATTAATTCTTGGAATTATACAGTGAAACTTGTAGGTTTTCCATGCATTATTATCAGCTTCTAAACATGAGTTTAGACTAATTTCATTCAGATTTACTACACGAAAGAAAAATAAAAAATAAAAAAATCAAAAGATACATTAGAAATATGATTAACGTCCTGACGCAGCTGGTTAGTACTTATATATTTTACACGTACGCTATATTAGGCTGGAAATTGTGTGCATGGTTTATTTAATTGGTCTCAGACGTCACATAAACAACGCAGTCATGTTGCATGGCTCTTAAGCACAAACTAACATGCCGTGGGAAAAAAAAGCCCCACGTGGCAATTAGGGAGACATCTAGGGCTGCGACATGGCAAGGATCAGGAGTGATAATTTTCAAAAGGCTCGGGCGTTTGTGGTCTGTGTTCAAACAAAGAATACATGACTAACATCGTGACTACACACGTTTTCAACGATTCTATTTTTCCAAAGCACATCAAAGTATTGAAACTAGAATATTTCCACAACCATGCATGCATCATATTTGACTTCACAGAGGCAAACAAAAGTTCTAATTTTGCCACATACATAGACATTGAGTTCATATGTCCCCTAAATTAATAGGACACGACATTTTAATTAATGTGATATAATATTATTAAAGGAACGACATTTTAATTAACGTGACATGATATTATTAAAGAATCATAAAATTGAAGAATAATAAAAGGGCACAGAGTGAATTCTTATATATAGCTAGACTAGAAGGTCCAAAAATAAAAAGTTTTATCATTCTTGATTTCCAAGTTAATTCTCAGAAAATGACCACTTATAATTTGATCCACGGTTCGACACTTTTGGAAAAGTCTTCAAAATTCTCTTTTTCCATGTTTATCAAATTTTCGAGTCAAGAGTCGATTAATGTGAGCAAATTATGTAAGCAGCACTAATATCCTCTTTAAAAAATAATGCTGACATATATGATTGGGAAAAAAAAAATCCTCTTCTTTCTCTTTTTCCTTTTCGGTTGTGTTATTTTTTGTTTGTGAATTTGAAAATAAAGTCTTCTCTAGTACTTACCTGAGAATAAGCCATGCATAACATTGGCACATAAGCACTTTCATAATTATTTCGCTCACTCCCTTTTTATTTTTTAACTTTAATTTCTTGAAGTTGGCCGTGATGATACTAATTAGATGGCTGCACAATTATCATTATATATATGTGACTTTAATTATTTCTGCACAATTAGATGACTTTAATTTCTAAAGTCAATAATATTGTTTCTCAAAATAAAATAAAAAAAGACTCAAGAATATTGTCATCATCAATAGTTTGTTTATTTGTTATTTGTTTTTTTTTAACTAATATTGGATTTCAAGAGATCAGGTACATAAATATTAATTTGCTTTTGAAACTGACTTAAAATATTTTTTGTGGATTTTTGTGATGGAATATTTTGTACTCAAAAGAACCAGAAGGTAAAGCATGCACCATGGTAGTAAGGACTCTGCACTGGACAGTTCCACATTACTGGGTTTGGGGTTTGCCATTTTTCCTCTTCTACTCCACAAGATCTTCTCAGTTCCTCCATGAAAGACCAAACCAAAGCTTCCTCAGATCCCTTCTTTGCTCACTTTTCTCCCCAATGGTAATTAAACCAACAACAATTTTCTCATCATCAATTCCATATTTATACGTATTCTAATTAATACTACATAATTTCCCATATGCTAATAATAAAAGATTGTTCTTTTTTTTTTATTCATCATAGAGGCTAGTAGTTTCAAAGTTCATAGAATCCTATTTGCTGCACAAGCTTCCTTTGGAGAAGTATGGACTAAAACCGGACCACCCTTTTGTCGAGGACTACGCGTCTTGCCAAATGGCTATCATGCCGGAGAACTTCTTCTCTGAGGCTGACAAGGGGAAGATTGTGTTCAAGAGATCATCAAAATGGTGGTTCTGGGAAAAAGGAATCGAGTTCGACGACAAAGAAAAGATCGAAGCTGATGTTGTCGTCCTCGCCACTGGTTATGATGGTAAGAAAAAGCTCAAAGCCATCATGCCAGAGCCCTTTCGCAGTTTGTTGGAGTATCCATCTGGTCTCATGCCGCTATACAGGTAGAAAGAACAAAATTTTTGATATTATAAAAGAACCTCATTAAAGAATTAGTCTCAAATATTGTGTTTATGTTGAAATCTCTTTGTTGGTGATCAGGGGTACTATCCATCCTTTGATCCCAAACATGGGATTTGTGGGCTATGTTGAGAGTGTGGTGAACCTACATTCGTCTGAATTGCGTTCGATATGGCTGGCACGGCTAGTGGACGACAAATTCAAGCTTCCGGGTGTGACGGAAATGCTCGAGAGAACACTGATGGAGATGGAAGTCATGAAGAGAACCACCAGGTTCTACAAGAGGCACTGCATTTCAACTTATAGTATCAACCACAGTGATGAAATATGTGAGGAAATGGGATGGACTTCTTGGAGGAAGAAGAGCTGGTTTTCAGAGGCATTTAGCCCCTATGGTAGTCGAGACTATCTGAACTAGTTCTTGATTAGATGTGTCCTCTATAATCGTCTCTAGCTATTTATGTACTATTTGAGTGAAAAATAAAAATAAAAGAAAAAAGCAAATAAATTGTAGGGGAAAATTTAATGCATATATAGTGTATCCAACATATAGCATGATGCTTTATGCATGTGTAACTTATTCATATTCTTCAATAATATTGATTCTTCTGTAGAAATTGGACTTCTATGATTTGAGCTTTCATCTTAAAAGGCCAATCTATTAAGTCGACTGACCGATGTTCATATAAATTAGTATTTACTTATATATTTAAATGACGACTCGGATTTATTTTACCCTTTACATCACCCGACAACTAAAAACATTGGAGAATTGACATAGTTCGGCTGCATGAAATTCAACATGACCTCATGGTCGGCAAAAGGAATTAACATAGACATGTTGGACCACCTAAAACGACTAAAAGAGCAACCGTGTTATAAAATGACACCTACACCAGTTGAAACTAGAAAGAAACGACATGTATACGGTCAAACAGATGACGTCGGAGGAGAGACAAAAAGGATTGCCTGTTCTTTACTTAAGAAATTCCAAGATTCAACATTAACAGCTCTAGCTTTAAACTTTGATAAGTGGATTTCAATCATACACAGAGTTAAAGTTCTTGTCTAAAACAAAGACATAAAACAATAATGTACACATCTGGAAGATACAAGAGGGAATCAAAATTCAAATGCCTTTGAGTATTTTGAGGGTCTCATCAATGTGCTTTTCGGGTTGGAACTGGTTGTTGTAGATGAGTTGGACAACTCCATTCTTGTCAAGAACATAAGTCTCTCTCCCAGGCAATGTTCCGAACAGATCCCCTGGCACTCCCCACTCTTTCCTCACCTTGTTGCTTTCGTCGGCCAGCAATGTGTATGGAAGTCTGTATTTCTTCGCGAACGCCTTCATACATAGGATTTAGCTTTGTCATCAGAATTCAAGCATTTTTGGGCAATTGTGACAGGTTTGGCTAACAAAAACTCCTGTACTTATCAATCATATTTTTAGTTTTAAGCTTAGGAAATAGCAAATAAAAATCTTCTAGCAACATGAACTCTGTACTCAAGTTATATTCATACCAATTTCATGCCATTTTATTGGAATTTTCAGGTTGTCCATTACAGTTGTAATAGCTAAATACAGAGTTACATATATTGTTTAAAAATTCAAACCATTTGATGTATAGTTGTAAGGGTCAGGAATAGTATTTGTGCATTTTTTAGAAGTTGGAACATCCGTATAGTATTCCTACAAGATTAATATTTACATATATAATACAGCAGTAACAGCATAAAGAAAATCAACTTGTTTATATATAGGCATTTTTTGGTTACCTTGTGCGATGATACATCATCACCACTAATGCCAATGACCTCTGCTCCCGCTTTCTTAAACTTCTCATAAGAATCCCTAAAAGCACAAGCCTGAGGACACATCAATTGGTCAGAAAACTGCTATTCTGAATAATGCACTATTTGTAGTGAGGAATTTTAGAGTGACTGTATGTAAAGACATAATTAATCAAATTTTAAGAGAAGATAATGCACATTCCATCCTGCCACTAACAGTAATACTTTCGTAGAAACTACAAATTTATAAAGTTGTTTTTCCTTCAATAAAAAAACAGAGATTATTAGTGTCGTCTTATCGCCGTCCCCTCAGTTTATAGTTGAAATTCAGGGCCCATTTCATTAAAGTACTTGACTCAATTCGACTCAATGGGCTCAATTTCACTTCCACCACCACTAGCTCAACGCCGCACAATCTGTTGGCCGGGTAGAAATGTTGAAGTGAGGCTCTAAATTCTGAACCTTACCATAAAAGTGGACTTGTATAATATACCGAAAATGATGCGTTTAAATGAAGAAAGAAAAGCACCTGTTTCGTACACCCCGGAGTCTCATCAGCAGGGTAAAAATAGACAACCACAGGCTTGCCTTTGAATTTGGAGAGACTCACATTCTTCCCATCTTGATCTTTCAATGTAAATGGCGGAGGTGCCGTTCCCTTTTTCACCTATACAAAACAAGGAAAAAAAATAAAAAACCCCATTAATCAAATTCCCAAAATGTCAACAACAAAAAATTCATAAAAGAAAGTCTATAATATATATAATCTTAGTATTATATGTTAAAAACGCAATGCACCTTAGCCAAAATGAGATTCTTAGTGGAAGAAGAACACGGGATTGAAGAAGAAGAAGAGTAAGTGAGTCTAGTACCATAAAACTGAGAGGGAGATGATTTGGAGAAGATTTTAAGGTTTTGAGGAAATGGGTCTTTGCGCGTTTGGGAAGGGAGTACGGAAGGGAGGGAGTGCTTGGGAAGAGAAAGAGAAGCCATAAATATTTTGGGACAGAAATCAGTAAGAAAGATAGATAATGTGTGTTTGGTTTGGTAAGTGGAAGGAAACGCACAAATATCTTAAATTTGTAGTTTTTGATTTGTAGCCTCTTGTTTAATGGTAGTTTCTCATTTTGTAATTACATTATGTCGGAAGTTTTTTGGAGGAAGATAAGGGAAGAGAGTGTATTGGTTGTTGGGAAGAAACGGTGGGAGATGGGGATAGAATATAGATTACCTTTTTGGCGTGGACGATTGCTGACCTCATGCTTCCATGGCATTTGCATGGTTTTTATGTAATGACCACATTGACTAGAGCTAGGAAAAAACTCTTAACCAGGAAAAAAAAAGCTCTTATTTTGCAAATTCTATAGCTATTCTCAATTTGTCTCCGTAATTCTAAAATGGACATTAAAAAATGTTTGAGATAAAATTTTCAATATGAAAATATAAAATACAACGATCTAAAATTTCCAATATGAAAATACCATATTTGCGACGACATGTCGTCACAATTACTCTCCGTTAAATAAAATAACCATGTCGTCGTTAATAACTTAAATGTCGTCGCAAATAATTTTAGAACTCAAATTTCAATGGCGCGGATTTTTGGCGCCAAGGTAATCCATTTTTTGTGACGATAAGTCGTCGCAAATATCTTACTATTTGCGATGACATTTGTCATCGCAAATAGTTTTAGGTTATTTGCGACGACATTGTCTCTTTGTCATCGCAAATAATCTTTTTAAGATTTCATGAAAAAATAGACGCGGGAAAAATGATTATTTGCGATGACAAAAAAATTATTTGCGACGAGATAATGTCATCGCAAATAATTGACAACTGTTTATTATTTGTGACTACATTTTGAATTTATTTGCGACGACAATGTCATCGCAAATGAATCTGACCTAATATACCATATCTTCTTCTTCTTCATTTTCCCCCAACGCTCTCTCTCTCTCTCTGCCTCCTATTCCCGTTGCCACCGCCGGCCTTCCCTTTCTCTCTCTCTCTCTCTTCTGATCCCTTCTCTCTTCTTCCCCTCTCCTGCCGCCGCCACCGCCCCCCGCCGCCGGCCCTTCCCTTCTCTCTCTCCCCTTGTCTATCTTCCGTTCTTTCTCTCTCTCTCTCTCTCTCTCTCTCTT